AGAAAGGGACAGATTTTTAAAAATTTGTTTAAGGACAGACAGCTAGGAAGAAAGCTTGGGGGAGAACAGGATATTCATATCCTGGAGGATCAATTTTCTATCTGAAGGACTAAACTACTTTCAGTCACTACCCACCCAGGATGGAAAGGATTTAGCAATACAGCTATTAAAAGCTCCATTATCCCATCCATCAACAGTCTCAGCCAGTAAGTCTGCTTGTGGGCAACACTCAGGTATCTGTAAAGTTTTAACAGCATACTGTACTTAGGTCTGCAGCCTGCAATTTAATTCTTTTAAAAGCAACACTAAGTCCTGTCCATATCTGAGCCCTGTGATAATAACCCTAACGTCAGCTATTGTTCCATTATCTTAGAAAGATTTACAGCAACTTGCTGCTTTATTTATGCTGCACCTGGCACTGCTTTGGGGGAAGAAGTTGCTTTTTCTTCTTTTACTCAGCTTGGGAGAGAATTCACTTCAGTTATGGAGCTAAGGAAACGTCCTGGGCCTCTGCTCATCGAAGGACCTTTTGTGCCACAAATCAGCTCCCTCAGGCCCAAACGTTATTTTGAACAAAAGCCCAGGAACAGGTGCCTACTGTTCTGCTAGAGTAGAGAGAACATTCTGAAAATGGATAAGTTGAAAAGGGCCCCTTGGAAGAATTTTCTGCAGCATCTCTCTCTGTATGTAAAGTCATTGGCTTGGATATTTTTCTCAATGATACATCTGACTGCACTTCATGTGTGGGCATTTCTGACAAGTGGGACAATTTCAATTAATATGGTCTAAGCTGTACACACAGCTTGAAGATGGGCTTGTGGTTCCTTAACACTAAAATGATTACAAATAATTCCAGTGGGTGAGATCATGGCCTCATCCTTTCCAAACACAGTGATCTTTCAAGGTCAGAATACATACGGGAAAAGAATCAAGATTCCAAGATATTCAAAAGCTCATTTTGTAAAGCAGATAATAAAAACTATGGGCTACGTTACGTTTTGAACAACTAAGCAGCTCTTCATAAGGCAACAATGAGAATTTGTATGAAAATTAATACACTGAGTAGAATTACAGTCACTTTACACTCATTTACACGATCTGTAGAATGGAGAGTACACAGCATTTGTTTGATAAATAATGAATGAATGAATGAATGAATGAATGAATAAATAAATGGAGAAGGTCAACTTCTGACCCACAATTTAGGAAATTATTCCATTCCCAAGGTAATCAGCCTGTCATCCAAATAATTCCCCGCTCAGTCATTACAGGAAATGATCATACAAGCCAAGTTGTCCATCTGAAGTTGCTATGGCATCTTGATATACAGTAATTTGGTCTATGACCTTCAGTAGTTGAGTTTCCTAATGTACAAGACATTCTCAAACATTTTTTTCCCAACATGATCGCTCACATTAAGCAGATAACATAGAAACATGTGCCAAAATATTCATGCCCCTCATTAAAAAAAACTTGTAAAGAAATCTAATGGATACCAAATGGTTGCCACATCTCCTAGCGCAAAACTTCTAGAGCTAAGAAGGAGGAAATGCTCATTTAGCCTCCAACAAACCTGGAGATCTTGCATGTGGATAACTAACCAGAAATAATTCCAATTAATTTTAGTTCCCAAAGATGGATTCCTCTGTTTCTCAAAGTTATATATTTAAAATATTTTCCAACTTCAAAGAGGTGTTCTTTCAAGCTTTTTTGTGCCCACCCACAATCAATTTGGGTGTGGTTTCTCTGTGTTCAATAGTCCCTGCCTCCCCTTCTCAAGACTGTAAAAGCACGCCTTTCCTTTGTATCAGCTCCACTGTAGGATCCTAAGGGCATTCTTTCTTTGTTTTCCAGAACCAAACACAATAACAGAACGTAATCAACACTCAAGAAATTTGGTGAGTTAAATGATTAATTACGGACTAAAACATGCTGGTTGGATAATCCACGTTGCCTGGTAAAGTAAAACGGCACGACGCTGCCCCTCCTGGGCTGGACGAGGAGTGAAAAGCCCTTGGAGGGCCTGGGCTGCTAGAGTTACGGGGTGTGAGAACCATTTCCATATGCAGCAGCTGTTTATCCCTTCAGGTTGCCACTGGCCTCGTTCTTCCTTTCAGCACCTTTGTGCAAATACACACAGTTAAGGATGTTTACCCCGCAACACAAAAGAAGCCTGCTTTAGGAAACCTAGCAGGACTAGGTTGAGTCATTAAGCCAAACAACAGAAGCAGATGAACGTAATTCCATCCTGTTGCTACACAGGAATAACTCAGTTTACTTGATCATCTAGAAAAAGAAATATTATTAATAGTGATATTGTTGCAGAGGACAATTAGATTTTCATACGTATTTAAATCTGTTGCACATGTTTTATAACCTCCCAAAGTCAGCTACGATTGATTTCCCGAGTTCTTCCTCCGGGATGCCGGTCTCATATTGCCTGTTCTAAGGTCCCATCTTCCTCACTTGAACCAAGGTGAGGTCCTTCAAACTGGGACGGCTTCTCCAATTCTTCCTTCTCCTTTCATTTGCAAAATGAACCTTCCACAAACTCCAACTTGATCACCAAACCCCAGATCAGAACCCTTTCTGGCTTTGTGTGGACTGTACTGAGGGTGCTGGATTTTAGGACCAAAAAGGACCTCAGCGATGACCTAAACTCTGGAGCAATGCTTCCCAGAGCTGACCATCCTTCGAGATGACGTGGAGGGCTTATTAAAATACAGATTCCTGGGCCCCACCCACAGAGGTTCAGATCCAGTAAGTCTGAGGCAGGGCCCAGGAACGTGCACGTGTGACAAGCTCCCAGGAGAAGCTGAAGGTGCTGGTCCGTGGACTACACTTGGAGAAGCTCTGACCCACGGCAGCAGCCTCTGTATTCAACCCGAGGAGCTCTGCTGACATCTGCTTTACTCTACACCCCCAGCTTCCTCTTAAATGTTAATCCTAACAAAAGGTTTAGTAACTGACAATCAGCTACTCTAACCCCCTTGGTTTACAAATAAGAAAACTGAGGCCTGGAGAAAAAATTTAAAATTATTTTTTCTAACCTGGCTAGTGGGCCAGCATTCTGTCCTGATACCATTTTTGTTCAGACTTTCAGTCTAGCATTGAGAGCTCCTAGAACCTTCCCACCTTCATCTCTCCTTCCCTACAATCTAACCACACTCGGGTCTACATCAGCCTTTTCTCACACCATTCTTCACCTGCCCCTACTGTCCCAAATATCGAGTGTGATCATACACCCAACACGTTGAACTGAACTCAATACGCGTTTTGGGCCCTAATCACTCCTCCACTTCAGGAACTGACATGCACGGATGGGACACCTTTGATCCCAACGTCATCCAGATTTTCCTGGACTCCAAAAATACACTCTTTTGACCACAGCCTCCTAAGCTGTATAATCCTAGACTGCTGGCACCCCCAGCTCCACTCCCAGCAGCCTCCCAGGCTATCAGAGCGGTACTGACCACCGGTTCATCCCTGTGGTGAATACTGTTCATCCCTGAGCTGTACTGACCACCCTGCCCACACGGGGCAGTGCTTCACCGGTATCCTCACCAGGCTTGCCTCCCTTGACTTGCTGCCATGCCTGTCTTGCCAATCCTCATCACAGAAGTCAACTAAAAAATTATTTTTCTAAACAACAAGGTCCTACTGTATAGCTCAGGGAACTCTATTCAATATCCTGTGATAAACCATAACGGAAAAGAATATGAAAAAGAATATATACGTATAACTGAATTGCTTTGCTGTATAGCAGAAATAAACACAACATTGTAAATCAACTATTCTTCAATAAGATAAATTAAAAAAAAATTATTTTCTGGGACTTCCCTTGGTGGCGCAGCGGTTAAGAATCCGCCTGCCAATGCAGGGGACACAGGTTCAAGCCCTGGTCCGGGAAGATCCCACATGCCCAGAGCAACTAAGCCGGTGCGCCACAACTACTGAGCCTGCGTGCTACAACTACTGAAGCCCGCGCGCCTGGAGCTCGTGTTCCGCAACAAGAGAAGCCACCGCAATGAGAAGCCCGCGCACCGCAACGAAGAGTAGCCCCCGCTCACCGCAACTAGAGAAAGCCCGCATGCAGCAACGAAGACCCAACGCAGCCAAAAATAAATAAGTTAGTTAATTAATTTAAAAAAAATTATTTTTCTATTTCCTGTCTTCAAAGCATTATTGGCTATGGTCACACTGTCATGTTGACTGGACGTACTAATACCCTCAGTTAGATTTTCCTGCCTCAGGCAGCTTATTTACTCATCTCTAGTTGACTCTCTCAGGTTTCCAAGGAAAGCCTTCACAATTCCCATCATATTGAACCCACAAATCTGCTCCAATGCTTCCCATTCCCAGAAGTGACATCATCTCTAAGGCAAGACACAAGATCAGAGCCCAAGTCTGGGGCTGGATTGGGAGGATTACTTAGCCCGCCACACTGTGGAATCTGGACCTATCTTGGGGGCATTGAGAAGCCATTCAGAGCGCTGCTGTAGAAGGGTACCTCTGGCGGCGATGGGAGGGACGACTGGAGATGGGCTAGAGGCAGAGACCTGGCAGGGGCTCAAGAAATGCACACAGGAGACGGGGGAGAATCAAGAATCTCTAAATATTGTACTTTGCGTAGAGTAGATACACCATAGATGTGTTGAACTGATTTATTCAGGCTCTGACTCTCAGAAAAATGTATACAGAAAAATACGTAACTAACTTTAAAAAATGCATAGTTGAGAGTCAGAATACTTCTGCTCTGTCTTGTCATCAGGCAAGTGAAACCTATTCTGCAACGGACAGATGGTACAACAAGATATAAAATGAAATTAGCAGTGATGAAACCCAGATGGAAATGAGGAAAAGGTCAATATGCTAAAGGTCAAAGGAATCTGGCTCCATCTTGTCTTGTTTCATAAAGGTCTGAGGTCACAGCTTAGTGGCTTTTACTGCAGGGAAGTTGCAGGACTTGCTACAACTGTGCCAAGGCACCACACACTCACCCAGGGTTGTTCAAAGCTATAGGTACGTCTCCGATCTTCCACGTCTTCATCCTGCTTTGCTTGCTGAAATTCTTGCCGGAGACGCTGTATCCGATCATGGTTGCTAGGAGTTGATCTGTTGCTAAAAGACAAAACCGGCAACAGTGAACACCCTTCAGAAATACAATCTGTGGATGGCAGTTGCTAGGAAAAAATGGCAGCTTGCTGTGAAATGGTGCTGTTTGAGAGGAAGTGAAATTTTAAGACAATATCTAGGCATTTGACATATGTTTTCCTTTTGTTCTCGTGATTAAGACTTACTGAGGTGATTTTAGACAGATATTCAAGAGGGCAAGTGGTATTTTTAGACATTCCTTTTTTACGCAGCTCTTTAAAAGCCTCATTTCCTCTTGGTAATCTGGCAAGGTGTTGGCAGCAAAAATTTTTTGGAAAGGACATTGCATGAAAAGTCAGAAATACCAGGGGCCAGTCCTAGCTCCTCCACCTTCTTAAAGTAAAGCACTTAACGTCTCTGGGCTGCGGCTTCTTTATATATAGGAAGTGCACATAAGAATCCTTTCTGCTCTAAATATCATAGTTGTAACAATCAAGTGAGACAACACCATACAATATAGACTCACAAACGTGCAGTATTACTTTCATAATGCCATTATATGAAGTTCTTATTTATGAGTTTTCCCACGTCTATACACAAAATCCAACACTCACGGTATACATGAAAAGCATTTTAAAAATAACCTCAGGTGGTAGTTTGATTGAACCAATGAGTTCATAATAATTTTGCCTTCTTTTTTATAGCTTTGAATTCTGTTTTATCCTCACAGAAAGCTTATAAGATAGGTGCAGAAGGTAGTGTTTCACACACACACACACACACACACACGCACGCACACAAAGGTAGAAACTGCCATTCAGAGGAGATAAGTAACTTGTTTGAAGTCTCCAGTCTTTCTCTAGCCAGTGTGGAATGTGAGACTAGAATCCAGAATTTTCTGGCCACTAACCCAGCCTCATCTCACTATACCCTGTTGTTTCATCTAGTAAAACACACAGCAGACACCAAAGCCCCTCCCCTATTAAACTACATACATATTTAAAACAGTATTTTGCAAGAGTGATATAACCAAAATCAATCTTAAATCTCACAGCACTTTTGGTGGATTCCATTCCTTAAGCACAAAATTACATCCAATCCGGACAGCTATTCAAGCACATTAGGTATATAGTTTTCCAACAAAACTTCAGACTTCCTGAGGACAAGAACCAAGTCTTATATTTATTACATATACCCCTCCAAGCTGCTGGCAGAATGGGAAGCTGTCAGCCAATAGGAGGATGGGTCCCTTCATTGAAGACATGTTGCCCTGATGACTCAGAGTGGATCTGAGTTCTTTTGGCTGCACAGCCCCCTGGGTCATGTCATTTGTGAGAGGTGGCCTGGAAAGAGAAAGTCTGTCAGAGGAGAGCCTATAAAATTCTCAAACTAACATGTCTTTGTATAATTTCACATATTTTCAAGAATTCCAAAGGTTTGAAAATCTCAAGTTGAAAATGATCACATCCAGGACCATAACATGAATATCTTCTAAGAATAGGGGATTGTCTTTCATCACTTCATCTCCTCGGTGGGTTCCTATCACCCTTATGTTTCTATCAATTTCATGAGAGCTTCGGGAATATCCTGTCGATACATTCAATTTGATGATTTTCCCAGTCAATGAAAACTTGTGTTCCCTTTGTTCCTCTTCTGATAGATCTTCGGAACTGATCAGCCAGAGAACATGGAAAGTTAATCTGTAAAATGTGCTAGTTGACAACACGAAGCTTCCGTCTACACGTGGGTACCACTTTAAACTTCCCCTCCACACTCCTGAGCCTAGCAGGGTGTTATTCCTACTGGTTTTTAAATCATATATACAGCATCTTATCTTGTCCCAGCAGATAACGTTTTCCAGATGGAACGCCCAATCCACAGAACTCCTCACCCTCCATGTGAAACTGTGATGGTGTAGGTACGTAGATAGATTCATAAGACAAAGGCTAGGAAAGTGAACATTCATTCACCTCACTGCCCTCTTTCCAGCTGTGACTCTTTTGTCCCCTGCACAGCTTTTAATAGGGGGATTGTAGGAGGCTTGTCTGGTGAAATATTTTACAAGTCTTAGTAGAAATATTTCCCTATTATTTTCATGTGGCACAGACAGTTTTAACCACATAATTATTAGGTCCATGAAGTCCAAACCATTGGTGAAAACGGACCTCTTCTTACTATTTGTGATTACCTGAATGCGCAGTCTCCCAAAAAAGTGATTTGGTTATACGTATACTTGTATCTATTCTTTTTCAAATTATTTTCCCATTTAGGTTATTACAGAATATTGAGCAGAGTTGCCTGTGCTATACAGTAGGCCCTTGTTGGTTTTCTATTTTAAATATAGCAGTGTGTACATGTCAATCCAAAATTCCCAACCTATTCCTCCCCCCCCACCTTTCCCCCTTGGTAACTGTAAATTCGTTCTCTAAGTCTGTAAGTCTGTTTCTCTTTTGTAAATAAGTTTTTGCATCATGAAATAAAATTTTTTTAGATTCCGCATATAAGCGATATCATGATATTTGTCTTTTCTCTGTCTTACTTCACTTAGTATGGTAATCTCCAGGTCCATCCATGTTACTACAAATGGCATTATTTCATTCTTTTTAAAGGCTGAGTAATATACCATTGTATACATGTACCACATCTTCTTTATCCATTCATCTGTCAATGGATATTTAAGCTGCTTCCATGTCTTGCCTATTGTAAACAGTGCTGCAATGAACACTGGGGTGCATGTATCCTTTTGAACCATGTTTTTCTCTAGATATATGACCAGGAGTGGGATTGCTGGATCATATGGTAATTCTATTTTTAGTTTTTTAAGGAACCTCCATACTGTTCTCCATAGTGGCTGTACCAATTTACATTCTCAGTCTCACAAGGGAAGTGGACCCAGGTCCTTAATTTTAAGATCTGGTGACCTTCATGCTTTTCATAGGACAAGACAAGATCTGGAAGTCACTTGTGACCTTATTTCCAAATCTGAGCAGCTGGCGAGACCACTGTTTCACTCTCTTTTCCCTGCTTCCTTTCTTCTTATGCTCTAGAGGAAGCAGACTGACCTGCCTAAGACTAGCAAAGCACCCGAGGGTTGAAGGCTGCAGTGGTTTTCTGATGGATGGAGATTTCCAAAGACTGGAAGCCTATCAAGCATCCTTGGGGAATAACAGCTGGCAGTCTGCAGGTGAAACCCTGGCTTCTAGAGATGGAACCACTGCAACTGCTTAGTTCTGCCTCTCAGGCCAGGCTCTAAGGGCCAATAACTCACATCTGGATTTCTAAAGCTCTTGGTTACCTCTTCTGCCAAGAAGGCCAAAGGAAAGTTGAAATATTCATTAGCATTCGTGACGAACGCCTGCCAGATCCCAATCAACTTATACTTGGGTTCACTGCCAACTTAAAGGTGCTCATTACTTATTTTTTTTGGTGAGGAATATAATAAAGATATCACCTACGTTGATCAGATGGGTGAATGAGACAATAAAACTCTTAATGAGGAGTCAGTAAATCATAATTTACCAATAGTGTACAGAAAGGAGGGATGAGGATGGGAATGACAGAGATGCTTTTTGGGTAAAAAAAATCGACACGGTTTATGTCCAACATTAGCATTTAGCCTTTTTACACATTGGTGTTTATACACGTGCACACACTCGTGTGTGTGTGTGCGTGTGTGTGTGTGTGTGTGTGTGTATTTTAAACTAAATGAAGAGGGTTCTGGTCCCGTAATGATCTGGGATTTTTTCTGACAGGGTCAAGAAAGTGTACATTGGATCACACACGATGGAGATCCCTAACACATGTGTACAACCTAACCCTGACTTAGACGGAACCTCAATCTTTCCCATCCAATTACCGTGGGAATGTCTCTCCTATCAGAGGTAGATCACACAGAGTACTAAGTTTTAAAACCTTCAGATTGGACTCCTGCGATGTGCTTCACAAGCAAAAGTAGCTGAAAACACCAATCCATGCGAACTGCAGCCACAATCCTATTTGTAGATAAGCATCTGAGCCTGCCCCGCATCTGTGCTGCACAGGTGCACTGAATGAGGAAAGAAACTTCATAATCGTGGGTCTCACCCCTAGACACGTCTTGTGTATGAATCTCACCATCCAGAGTGCTTTTTAAAAAATGCTGATTGAGACTCATCTTGAGATATTCTGAGTCAGCCTGGCTAGTGCAGGGCCCAGGAATCTGCATGCATTTGAAAGCACTGCAAGTGCTCTATGGACAACACTTTGAAAACAAGGCCTGCAGGCTTCATAGTTGGGACAAATTCCAATGCCTGCAGGGCAATTAACTAAAGAGTGAAGGAGACCCACTGGGCTGGAAGCACAAAGTATGTCCTGTGACAACTGGGAGAAATATGCTTGGTCTAGAAAGGGAGGCCCTTACTTGGTAGATTATTGCCCTGAAAGGATATGATGTTGCCTTCTAACTTTTTTTTTTTGAGAGAAGTCAGAATTATTATAGTCCCCACCCTACCTTCTAGTTTTTTGTTTTTTTGCGGTACGCGGGCCTCCCACTGTTGTGGCCTCTCCCGTTGCGGAGCACAGGCTCCGGACGCGCAGGCCCAGCGGCCATGGCTCACGGGCCCAACCGCTCCGCGTCATGTGGGATCCTCCCGGACCGGGGCACGAACCCGTGTCCCCTGCATCGGCAGGCGGACTCTTAACCACTGCGCCACCAGGGCAGCCCCCTACCTTCTAATTTTAAATGTTGGCTTATTTTAATTTTTCAATCCTAGGTGAGACAATCCTGTTGCCTGCTAGCTTGTAAGCTCTATGTTCTACAGATGCTGCCTATTTCATATGTTGCTTTTCTAGGTTATTTACTTTCACTGCACCGAGATAGGGCTAGTGGACCCCTAGTAACAGGCCCAAGAAGCAAATATTAAAGAAAAAAGACCACTGGGCATTGTCCATGCAGCCTTGCCTCTGCTCCTGGTCTAACACTGGGCACACTGGCCTGCAGGCTTGAGTTCTGACCTATCTTTTCAGACCATCATATGCTGCGAGAGAGG